GGTTCAGCAAGTTGTGTTACCTAATTGGTCAGCATGGAGCCTCACTGAGCAGCTTTCTTCATGGGATAAAGGAAGCCAGGAGTTTGGTCATTCTGAAGCATGCAAGTCTCTTCTTGGATAGTTACACAGAGCAAGTATCCAGTCCCGTGTCATGTTCAGTCTCTGCAGGGTTATTCTGCCAAGGAGAACAGCTCCTTAATGAGAAGAGACTAGATTAGGGAGAGTGATTAAGGTAATAGAAATTGCAAAGCAGTTTTTTAATCTTTAGCCAACTGTAGTTTTACGTTGCTAAAATTTTAGTTTTTTCCAAGAGAAAAAACATCTTCAAAATAATGAATTCCTATATCTCCTCTCCTGTATTCTAGGAGAATGAATGCTAGTGTGCTTAATTTACATAAAACGTACTATAAGAAATTCGGTTCTTTAGAGGATAATTTTATTTATTTATTTATTTTTTTATTTTTGGAGAGGTTTTTTTCACTATAGGGCGCGTGCGCTCGCCAGACAGACAGAGAAAGAAGAGAGGCAGAAAGCGAGAAATCACCCCCCAGGGGGGATGGTCACGCCGCAATCCCTTCTCCTCCATACTCCTCTCGGGATCTTGGGCATGCACGCACACGCGCCCAGCGTGACTTTTAAGCCACCGGGTCCGGGACGCGAACCACGGTCAACTACGTGGGAGTCCAGCAACATAGCCATTACGCTAACTGCTGGTTCCTGAGGATAATTTTATTTACCTAAGTATATCATACTAAAGTTTGAGGAAATATGTAACTAAACAAATGAAGACCAATTGCTGTAAATACGGAGCTGTTCTGATGTCTGCTTTTTAACTCTGTGTAAAAAGAGAATTTAAAAGACCTATTTTTTTAAAGACTTTTTAATAAAGCCTAGACTAGTTCTTCAGGGTTCTCTTCATGTTTTAAAGTAAAATATCCCAAGTGAATTTGAAGATTTAACTTAAAAATATTGCTCACTTTTTTAAAATTTTCATTTTGATGTTGTGATGCAAGGCATAATTTCAGTGTTATTTTAACATAAAAAAGATTATGCTATTGCTCTGAAGTATCTGTAGGTTTCATGCTTTATTCATTCATACCTCATCCGTCTAATATGTATTGGCCATCTAATCCATGTTGACCAAGTTTCCTCTAAGTGCATTACACAGAGCTCTAGGCCCATCATAGCCACAGCACACAGCATGGAGTCAGTGACAGGCACTGCCCTCAGGGAGCTCATATGTGTCTGTTCGTGTTATCTTAATGTTATTTATAATGTAAGGTTATTTATAAAATTGTAAGCCTATATTCATTATTGAAAACTATACAAGTAAAGATAATCAAAAGAATGAAGTTGCCCATAATCCTACCACCAGAAATAACCACTGTCATTTATCTCAGTGCATTTCCTTTCAGATTTATGCATATACCTGCAGATAGGTGTGTGCATGTGTGTGTTTAAAGACAGGATCTCACCACATTGTGATACTCTTGTCTCTGACATCTAGGTGCACCTCTGTGCCTGGCTCTGTTTTTAGATAGAGTCTCTTTCTTTCTGTCTTCCTCTTTCTTTATTTCTTTATTTCTTTTTCCTTCTTTCTCTCTCTCTTTTTGTATTTCTTTCTCTCTCCCTCTCTTTTTCTTTCTTTCTCTTCTTTTTTCTTTTCTTTCTTGCCAGAGGGCTTGTGTACTTACCAGAGAGAGACAGAAAGAGGGAAAACGTACCTTCAATGAGGCACATTCGTGCCATAATTCCTTCTCTTCCTTTTCTCTGTTCTGTCAGGATTTGGGGCATGCACACACAAGTGCCCGACATGTTTTTCAAGTCACTGGAGCTAGGACTTGAACTGTGTGGTGGCCATGTGGCTTCTGGCTCCCTCAGCTACTAGGCCTCAGGGCTGGTCCTTAACATGTTTTCTTACCTTCACTATTCATTTCTGAAAACTTAGGAAACCTGAAGTGATGAGTAAGGGAAATTGTCATTTAAGTTCCAACAGTTTTAACCACTTTTTTCAAGTTTATTAATTAAGTTATCAAGTAGTATCTACCAAGAAAATTCTAGCAACTTCTGCATAACTTTAGGTATTTTTAATAATTCCTTTTATATTAATCTCTTTACCTAGACTGGCATTTCTCCCCTTGGTTATTGTAATTATCATACAACCTGCTCCTTGGTATTTTACAGTTCATAATGCTGACATCACAAAAGTTTAGAAACTAATTAGTGAGATACTAGTATCTAATCCAGGTATTGTTTGAAAACTTTGAGGAACTGAATTTATATTTTAACACTAATATACGTGTGTTTTTCTTTTTTCGCTCAAGGTATTGTACATCTATTACAAATTTCCTGGTCATGGGAGGATTCCAGCTTCTTGCTAAACCTGCCATGTAAGCAAATACATACCTTTCAGTTATCATCTAACAGCTAAAGGTGTTTTGTGCAGTGCTCTGTGTTTCTGAGTTCCCAGGAAAAGCTTTGATTGATCATTTTACCGAATAGATCAGAATGTGGATCTACACTAACATTTATGAAGCACAGATACTGTTAGCCTTATCATTCTAAGTAGTATGGTATTGAAAAAGCACTGAACTAAAAGGCATAAGACTTGGGTCTTTCTTCACTGAAATCACTTACTACCTTTGAGTTTTTAGACAACTCTCTTCACCCCAGTAAGCCTAATATTTTTCTATCTGAAGTGTAGGAATGTTCCCTTCCTTGTTGGAGAGCAACAAATAATGTATGCAGTGGTGCCTAGAAAAGTACAAAGTACTGCACATACATAGGTCATTAACATTTACCTCCTGGGTAAATAATATAAACTCTCCCCCCAAGGCCCCAGCAGATGGCATAATGGTTCTGTAACTGGACTCTCACATAGTCAGTCACTGTTCAGGTCCTGGACGTGGCAGCTTAAAACTCACCCTGGGTACACGTGCATATATGCCTGAAATCCCAAGAGGAGAATGGAGAAGGGATTGCTGTATGGCCATGCCTCCTATGGGAGTGATTTCTTGCTGAAATGTATAGTTTCTCTGCAAGTGTTGGCCTGGCAACAGAGGCAGGTTTTTAAATTTTCTGTCCTTTTTCTTTTTTCTTTAAAAAAGAGATGTTTGCCATAGGGCACATGCACGTCTCAGAGAGAAACAATAAGAGGTTGAGAAATTACCCACCGGGGGGATGACCATGCCACAGTCCCTTCTCCTCCAGAGATTTTGGGCATGCATGTACACGTGTCCAGCTTGAGCTTCAAGCTGCCAAGTCCGAAACTTCAACAATAGTTGTCCATGTGGGAGTCCAGTACCTTAACCACTATGCTACCTGCTGGCCTCATATATTCTGTACTTTAATAGAAAATATTTCAATTATGTATTCACCATCCTAGTGGAACAAGTACTAAGGTCCTTATCTCATATCTGGTCTTAATGGGAATTTCTAGTATTTCATCATTAAAGGTCCAGCAGGTAGCATAGTGGTTAAGGCAAGCATCACCTGGTGTGAGTTTCAAGCCACTGGGTCCAGGACTTGAACCACAGTCAAGCACGTGAACGTACGGTACCTTGGGACCAGCAGTTGGCGTAATGGCTATGTCACTGGACTCCCATGTAGTCAACCACGGTTCAAGTCTTGGACCTGGTGGCTTAAATTCCCACTTGGTGCATGTGTGTGCATGCCCAAGATCCTGAGAGGAAAATGGAAGAGAAGGGATTGTGGTGTGGCCATCCTCCCGAGGTGGGGGTGATTTCTCACTTTCTGTCTATCTGTCTCTCTCTGTGTTTCTGGCAAGTGCACACACCCTATAGGAAAAACCTCTCCCAAAAAAGAAAGTACAGTACCTTAACCACCACACCAGGGTATAGCCCCCAGACCTATACATTAAGGAATGCACATCAGTAGTTTAAAAATACCTCACTGGAAATGCCCCATGAAAGCCAAATATTTTTATGGATAAATTCTACCAAATATTCAAAATACACATCATCCCTGTCTTACATACATTATTGCAGAAAACTCTGAAATAGAAAAGGAGAGAATGCCTCAAACTCATTTTAAAATTGGTAGTGAAATTCTTTTATGAAAATTTGGTAAGTCCAGGAGGGAAAGAAAATCTCATCTTTGCACAAATGCAAAAGGATTAAATATCAGCAAACAGAATACAGCAGTGTATTTATATACTAATACATAAAGGCCACTGAATTTAATAAAGATCTTTGATCCAAAGTTTCATTTATAGGGCTAAAAAAAATTCCTGTGCCTAAAAGTTGGAGAGGAATTGGTTTTAAATGTCCTTTGGTTATTAAATTCAGGTCCTGGGCTTGGTGGCTTGAAACTCACATCAGATGTGTGTACACGTGTGCTCAAAATCCTGAGAGGAGAATAGAGGAGAAAGGGTTGCAGCATGGCCATCCTCCTTGGGGAGTGATTTTTCATTTTCTCTCTCTCTGTCTATTTTGAGTGAGTGCTCACATCCTATGGCAAAAACCTTAAAGAATAAAAAACGTAATGGGTCTGGTCAGGTCTTTATTTCTTATTATGGCTTTAGTTACAATATGTTTATATATTTTTTTGGAAACTTGTTCATTTTATCTTTGTTTTCAAAGTTATTGACAATAATGTTCCAAGCATTGTCTTAAGATTTTTATACCTCTATAATAACTGTAGTTACTTTTCATTCTTACAATACAGAGAGAAGGAAATTAAGAAATCACTCCCCCGCCCCCCCCCCACCCACCACCAGGGGCAATGGCCACACTGCAATCCCTTTTCCTCCCCCGTTCTCTAAGAATTTTGGGCATGCATGCACAAGAGCCTGATGTGATTTTTAAGCCACCAGGTCCTAAACTGGAATCATGGTCAGCTATGTGGGAGTCCAGTGCCTTAACCACTATGCCACCTTTTGGCCTTGGCCTTCATTTTTTAAAAGTCAGGTACAAATGTTTTGTATTTAACCCTGCGTAGTAACTTAAGAATCCAAGATCATGCTATTCTGTTTTGTGTTAATATAATGACCTTCTTTTTTTTATTTTTATTTTTTTTAGGGGTTTTTGCTGTAGGGTGCGTGCATTCGCCAGAAAGACAGAGAGACAGAAAGTAAGATATCACATCCTCCTCTTGGGATTTTGGGCACGCACGCACATGCACCCAGTGTGAGTTTAAGCCACTGGGTCCAAGACTCAAACCATAGTAGACTACATGAGAGTCTAGCAACATAGCCATTACACTAACTGCTGGTCCCTGTAATGACCATTTTCTATTCTTTTAGTTTCAACCTTTCTGCATCGTATTGTAATGTTTTCATATATATCTTGTAAGCAACAATTGAATAGGCTTATTGTTTGGTTGTTTTTTTCAATCTGCGAGATTCTGACATTGAGAAGTTTACATATGCTGTAATTACTGATTATATGCTTATTATTTATAATATGTTTATTGTAATCAAAATAGCTTACTTAACTTTTAGTGTTAGTGATATGCTGAATCAGAGTCAAATAAAATAGGGGAAATAGTTGTAGTCAAACAAATAATTAAAAGAAGCAGAAAGACGGACCAGCAGTTGACGTAATGGCTATGTCACTGGACTCCCACGTAGTCGACTGCCGGTTCAAGTCCCAGACCCAGTGGCTTAAACTCAGGCCGGGCACATGTGCGTGCATGCCCAAGATCCCGAGAGGAGAATGGAGGAGAAGGGATTACAGCGTGGCCATCCCCCCTGGGGGATGATTGCTCACTTTCTATCTCTCTGCCTCTCTCTGTCTTTCTGGTGAGCACACATGCCCTATAGCAAAAACCTCTCAAAAAAAAAAAAAAAGAAAGAAAGAAAGAAAAGAAAGAAAATTAAATAGTTACCATTGCAAAGTAAAAAATCAAATTTAATAGCTGGAGGATACAAAGTTGGTGGATTCTTCGGGCAATTCAAATGGGAAGCTTCTTGATTTCTTGAAGGGCAGTGTAGTTGCTGACTCTGGTACCTTATTGTGCTTTATTGTTGGCCTTACTCTAATATTGCACAGTTAAGCACTGGCCTGACTTCTTGTTAGAACAGCTATATGAGATAACTTAAGTTGAAAGCCCCTGTGCCTCTTGCTTGGCACCAAGCCCAGAGCCTGGGCACATGGGAAGCAGTTCTTGAAAGCTGGGTGACTCTGAGCTGTGGCCATAGATAGTAAGCCTGGATTTAGACAGCACTTCTCAAGTGGTGATTCACGAACACCTGGGTTTTACATAGTTGAAAGCAGTTATGTCATCTTTTAATTTCTATTTACAAAGCCAATATTTAAAATTATTTTAAAGATTTTATTTTAAAAGATAAGCGTTTGAAGAACTGTAGAGCACAAGTATTGAGCTCATGTGGCAGTTAATGGATAATAGATGCTTGCTGCTGCTTAAGAATTCACAGTTTGGTGGTTTGATCATTAAACAAGTTTTTTTTTTTTCTTAAATTGTGGTAGCAATACATAATATTTTATCATTTTAACCAAAAGAGTGCAACTCTTTGGCATCAAATACATTCACAATGTTTTGTAATCATCACCATTCTTTACCCCATTCTTCCTCATCATCTCCAACAAAAACTCAGTACTCTTTAAATAGTAGCTCTTCCATCCTCACTTCTCCTAGCCTTTGGTTCTTCTGTTCTACTTCCTGCTCCATGAATTTGCATATTCTAGGTACCTTATGTAAGTGAAACCATGCATTTGTCCTTCAGTGTCTGGCTTATTTCCTTAAGCATAATACATTCATGCTATAGCATATATCAAAATCTCATTCCATTTTATGGCTCAGTAGTTTTTCACATTTTGTCTGTCAGTTTATCTGTCAAGAGGCACTTGGGTTTTTTCATCCTTTAGTAGTTTTTATTTTAAAAATCTGAATAAAGGTCTAAACCTAGCCATATAAGGTGGAGCCACTGATAGAATAAAAACTTCTAAGAGAAGATGAGCTGAGCACTCTCAGATTTCTTGAGAGCATGCTGGGACTCCTTTTGGGAATGACTGTAAACAGAGACATGAGTGAGTCCTAAAAAGAAGTGGAGCTCATAGTAGTTGAATGTTTCTGGTCTAGTATGTACGAGGTGCTGGGCCTCCAAGAGAAATGTAAGGGGCATGTGTGCCACTGTGTCCTACCTCTGTCTCTCAGGAGCAGGTCCAAGCAGAACACTGCTGTAGGATTCAGTGGGGTTGCTCACCCAATCTCTGCAGCAAAGCATGGAGGAAGAAGAAGGAGCATAACACGAGCCACATTGAAATAGAAGTTTGGGCCACTTTCCCCAGAGCACACTCTAGGCTCTCTTAATTGTATTATAAAACAATCAGATTTGTGCCATTGCACTTCTGAATTCCTGGAGATTATTACATATTTTTATTCCGTCTCTCCAAGATAGTATTATATAATTTCTGGGTTAAATATCTCTTTACTGAATAATTCTTTAAAGGATTATATGATGACTCGCTCTTGTCTTAATAGTCATGTATAACATTGTGTCTTATTTGAATTGTAATAATCTAATGTTTGTAAAGCACTCATTAGTGTCTGGCACAAAATTTTTATTAAGTGTTATCACTATTAAGTGATAAATGATACTTACTCTGTCCCACCAACTCTTCTTTACAAACCTTCTAAGTATTTTGGTCTAGTGAGCATTGTCTCAACAGATGATCATACTGTAATAAAATTCTTCTGTAATAATTTATTAAAAACAATTTAAAAACTATTGAACAGGGAACCAGCAGTTAGCGTAATGGCTGTGTCGCAGGACTCCCACGTAGTCAACCACAGTTTGCATCCTGGACCCGGTGGCTGAGAACTCACGCCGGGCACTTGTGCGTGCGTGCCCAAGATCCCGAGAGGAGAATGGAAGAGAAGGGATTGCAGCGTGAGCATCCCCTCTGTGGGGGTGATTTCTCGCTTTCTGTCTCTATGTCTCTCTCTGTCTGTCTGGCGAGTGCACGTGCCCTATAGCAAAAACCTCTCAAAAAAAAAAAAATTGAAATGGGCTTTGACTGGAATTTCATATCTGAAGATTAAACCAGGAAACTGGAACTAAGGTAAATCTCAAGCCAACAGAAACTCTTGGAAAGATGGCCTGGCACCACAAACAGTTCTGCCTGGCAGAGGGGATTAGAGAAGCTATATGAAAGAATTTATACCATGAAATAGCCTGGACTTTTCCAGCCCAGCATTATAATCAGTAGAGATTGCAAAAGAGCGGCCACAACCAGAGGATTATTTTGAGAAAGACTTTGAAGGAAGAAAAAGAGACTGATCTTTGCTAGCAGATGGTTTATCACAGAATACTAGGTAGGCAGGGCTGAATTGAGAAGGTTTATGTGTGAATTGTGTTCTGGGTGTTTGTTTTACAACAGTTTGAGTAGTTGACATGTAAATATTTTTTCAAAAATATTTTAAAACATACTGTCTCTATTGTTGTAGAGTCACAAACAAAATTATAATAAATATTTCAAACATTAAAAAAATTTAAATAATAAAGTAATTGCAGCTCAAAAAAACGGGCAATTTAAAAACTAAATGTTGCTGGAAAATTATTTGCTGAGAACATGTATGTTGATGTGCTTGATTGAACCAATGCACAGTGTATTCTGGATGGAAAATTCATTTGTGTGTTGTAATGGTGTATAGTGAATTAATAAAAAAAAAAAACTCACAGAAAAAAAAAAAACAACTAAATGTTGGCTTCAGTTTTAAATGCTTCTGAAGATCTCAGCATTGACATTTCACATATAATGACTTTCCTGATTATCGTACTGCTTTCTGCAGCATTTTATTACTCTAGTAATAAACTTTCATTAGGTGATCAACAATTGAAGGAAAAAAGTATTTTAATATTGAAGCTAGTTAAAGCAAGGAGCTTTGCCTTTCCTCCAGTATATTTGTTTAGCACAACTAATTGAAGCAATTAGTCTGGCTAATTATTCTCGTGACTTTTGACTTTAAAATTAACAAATAATAGTGCCAGCTGGTCTCTGATTATTCCCTGAAACACTGTGAGATGCATGATGATTCATTTCCTAGAACCTAAGTCTGTGATTACATTTTTATTAGAGTTGCTGTTGCTGCTATTTGATGCTTTTTATGCTAAATAAAATCCCAATTTCGTAGATAAGGAAATTATTTTTTATTTTAATTTTTTATTTTTAATTAATTCATTTATTTATATTCATTCACTGAGCATTGTCACAGCATACTAAATGTGATTTGCCATCCAGAATACACTGCAACAATGGCTTAAAAATACATGTTATGGTCAATAATTTTCCATTTCCAGTTTCATATATATATATATATGTATGTATATATTTCCCCCTATTTCTCACCCTTGTCTTTTCCTACCTTCCTCCAACACTATCTCAGGTGTCTACAGTTGTTTTCCATTCCTTTTTTTCCCCACATTTTATTGATTTATAAAATTTCTTAAGTAATCATAACTACTTTCAATAGCAAGTTCAGCTGGTATATACATATCTGTGAATACATGTCTGATTTTAGGCATGAAACTCTTGAGTAGAATGAATATTTTACAAGGTAGCACCTAGCTGATGCTATATAGCTTACTATGGTCATTAAATAGGTATTTTTTAGTATATTTTTTAATTTTAAGAAAAGCAGTTTTAGCTTTAATAAATCAAAGAAATGCTAAAGAACTTTGCTTAAAACTTAAAGCCAGGAAGCATGTTAGGATTTTATTCAAATAGTAGGTACATGAACCTATCAGCAGCTCAAGACAGGGCACAAATCCTTAAAACCGAAAAACAAAGCCTAGAAGAAAATCAGCAGTGTTTTAGTCAAAAGTCATAAAATTCTATTTCACCAGTTCAGTCTCATGTACTTTATCTTCTGTTGTGGTTTGATCTTCCTTATTAAATTCTGGGATATAGTATTAAACTCCAGACTTGTCCCTATGATTAATTTGGCCATTTTCTTAGTTTTCGAACTCTTATTTCTGTGTGCCTGTATTTAATTTTCCTGGTATAGCACTCCCTTGAGAACTTCTTGGAGATCTGGTCTGGTGTTGGTAAATTCTTTCAGGTTTTGTTTATCTGAGAATGTTCTTGTCTTTTCTTCCCATATGAAGGATAATCTTGCCGGGTACAGTATTCTTGGTTAAAATCGCTTTTCCCTTAACATTTTGAATATATTTTCCCATCCTTTCCTCGCTCACATTGTTTCTGATGAGTGGTCCGCTGTTAGCCTGATGGGATATCCTTTATAGGTAACTTGATGTTTCTCTCTTGCCAATCTTAGTATCTTGTCTTTGTGATTTTGGTCAGTCTGGCTATAATGTGTCTTGGAGAATATCTTCTTGGGCTGGTTCTATTTGGGGTCCTTTGTATTTCTTGGGACTGGATCTTTGAGTACCTCTCTAGGTTTGGAAAGTTTTCTTCCAGGATTTCATGAAATAGATTATCAATGCCGTTATGAGTCCCTTTGCCTTCTGGGATACCAATTATCGGGATGTTTGGATGTTTGATGGTACCTAGTATTTCTCATATATTATTCTCATTTTGGGGGGCAATTTTCACAGTCTTTGTGGTGGATTTTTCTAGGCCAGTGATTCTATCTTCTACATCTGAGATTCGATTTTCTGTATGATCTAGTCTGCTTTTAATACTTTCAAGGGAGGTTTTGACTTCCTGTATTATAGCCTTCATCTCTAACAGGTCCATTTGTGGTTGTTTGTTGTTGTTGTTGTTTTTAATAGTATGTATTTCCTCTTTTAGATCTTGCAAGAATTTCCTCACCTCCTAAAACTCCTTAACTCCTTTCACCTGCCTCTTCTGCAGTTCATTGTCTCTCTTCTTTTCCATCTCTGTTAGCTTTGTCACTATGAATATTCTAAATTATTTATCTGACATTTCTATGAGTTTTATTGTACATCTAAGGATGAAGAGGAGTTACTGTTTTCCCTTGGAGGAGAGATATTTTCTTGCTTTCCCATATTTCTTGTGACGCTGCAGTGATTTCTAGTCATCTAATGGATGATGCATTTCTTCCTAATGAGCATTCAGAGGCGTGCAGGAGGAGGTGATCTGCAATCTGTCTTCCCTTCCATTTTCACTCTTCGTGCATCAGATTTAGTGGGAAGAGAGGGATATTCTGATCCTAATTCTATTCAGATGTTTGGATTCTGTTCACTTGGACCTATCTAGACACTTAGTGTGTAGAGGCTGAGCAGCCAGTGAATAAAGATAAAGAAAAAAGAAAAAGAATTAAAGAAGAGAAAAGAAGAAAAAATAAAATAATGAAGAAAGAAAAAAAGATAACTAAAAAAAACCTTTAGATTTTAATTTTAAAAAACAAAAAAAATGAAAAAAATTAAAAGACACAGGGAACACAGAAATGGAGAGGAGACAGGTAGTCCTACCTACTAGAAATGAATGTGGAGGGAAAAGTCTCAGCAGAAAATCTTCATTTTTAGTCAAGGATAGCAATATTTCACAGCTCAAATTCAGTATCCATCTCAAGAAATTCTTTTAATTATATCTGGTTGATTTTATTGTATTTATCTTCTGCTAATTTCATAGCACTCAAAAATGTGCATTCCCAAATTTCTAGTGAAATTTTGTTTTATATCATGCATGTTATCAACACCTAAATGATTAACTGAATCTTTTTTCCTCTGCCTTCAGTGATTTCCTAAATAAAAACCAAGAGCTGTTGCAAGATTTATCAGAAGTGAATAATGAAAACACCCAGTTGATGGAAATCCTGAATACTTTGTTTTTCTTGCCAATCAGGCGACTTCATAGCTATGCAAAAGTTCTGCTAAAGCTTGCTACTTGCTTTGAAGTGGTAAGTTCCATATGCATACACACACTTTGGACACTTGGGAAGCCAAGGATCATGGTAGTTTGTTTAGGTTATGTCACCACAAGATCTGGATTCCTGCTAATTTAATATTTACATGTGTCTAATAAAATTTCTTTTTCTTCACAGAAACGATAGAAATTATAGATGTAGGTAAATCTAATTTTCTTGCTGTGAATTCAGTTTCCTTTCAGGACCTTATCTAGGTTAATCATGTTCATTTTATGAAACTGTGTCTAAAATTGAGTGTGTCTACTATGGGTGCTCTCACTCAGTAGTCGTCAAAGTTGAATCAAGTGCGTTTGATTGTGAGTTACCTGGAGCCCTTTAAAGCTCTTGCTTTCCATATATTAGCACACACATGTAGGGCAGTGAGTTATGATTGGCTTGAGTTCGTGATAGACTCATACCATGTGTTTCGGTCACTTTAGCAAATGCTAAGAGACATTACTGTTACACGATTTTCTCAAATACTAACTAGTCTGCTTTCTATATAAAATTAGTTAGCTGGAGTCCTCGGAAGTTAGCACCACTCCAGGTGTATGTTGAAATTGGTCCTGAGACATGTACCTTTGACATTACATGAAATGGATAATGTCATTTTGTTTCTGTCCTCAAGGTGTGTATAGAAACCCTAATGAATCGAAGGTCCCATGTAGGTTTAGAACCATTTTTTAGTTTTACTATAGGGTGCATGCACTTGCCAGAGAGAGATACAGGAAAGTGAGAAACCACCCCCAGAAGGATGGCCACATTGCAATCCCTTCTCCTCCATTTTCCTCTTGGAATTGTGGGCATGCACACACATGCCTGGCATGTTTCTCAAGCTGCGGGGTCTGGGACTCGAATCGTGCATTCAGCCTTATTGATTCCAGCTGCCTTAACTACTATGTCACCTGCTGGTCCAGTTTACAACCTTTTTTCTTTTTTTTTGTAAGAGTTTTTTTGTTTTTTGGTTTTTGGGTTTTTTTTGGTGAGGTTTTTCTATAGGGCATGTGTGCTCGCCAGACAGACAGAGAGAGACAGAGACACACAAAGTGAGAAATCACCCCTCAGGGGGGATAGCCATGCCGCAATTCCTTCTCCTCCATTCTCCTCTCGGGATCTTGAGCACCCACGCACATGCGCCCGGCATGAGTTTTAAGCCACCGGGTCCAGGACGCAAACTGGAGTCGACTACATGGGAATCCAGCGACATAGCTATTATGCTAACTGGTGGTCCCTTGTAAGAGATTTTTGATACAGGGTGTATCAAAAGAGAAAGTGAGAAAGCACAAAATCACCCGCCAGGGAAAATGGCCACACTGCAATTTCCTTCCCTCCATTCTCCTCTAGGAATTTTGGGCATGCACGCATACGTGCCTGGCATGAATTTCAAGCCACAGGGTCTGAGACTTGAACCGTGGTCAGCCAAGGAGTCCAGTGGTCAGTTAAGGAGTCCAGTGCCTTAACTGCTATACCCACTGCCGGAGATCCAACCCTTAATCTGGACAATTTCTGTCTCCACAGAAACTCAGGAACTGATGGAGGCTTCTGCATTTGATCCTGTTGTCATTTTGAAGGACTTTTCTTTAGTCTGGTTTCAGTTTTAACTCAAACTAACCTAGTTTTAGCTGACACAGTGAGATACAGTTTTCATCTCGGTGTCACCTCAATTTAAAAAAATCTTAATGGGGAGACCAGCAGGTGGTGTGGTGGTTAAGGCTCTGGACACTCCCACATGGCCGACCAGGGTTCAAGTCCTGAATCTGGTGGCTTACTTTCTCACTTCCTCTCTCTCTCACTCTCACCCTCTGTCTCTCTCTGGTCAGACTAAAAAATAAATGAATGAATAAATAAAATAAATAAATAATTATTTAAAAAATAAATTAATTTTTAAAAATCTTAATGGGATCAGATTAGAATTATTCAGTCAATCTGATATTGTATTATTTCCAGTCCAAAGGACCTACTTTTGTGGGATAATCTACACTTTTTTATCAATAGTTTAACACTCAAGGTCCTTCATAATGTGGTATCTTTTTTTTGTTTCTAGCATTATCTTCTGCCCTGTGTCTTATATGTTAATTCACATTCTCCGGACGTGGCTCTCAAAGTGCTTTATGTTTCCCTCCAGAGCACCACTGTCCCCATCCTCATTCTGGGAATCTTCCAAAGCTATGGTCAAAGTAATTTTCTCATGAAAAGTTATTTTCTCATGAAAATGAAGCCCTGTTTCTCCTTGCCCCTCCCAACTCTCTCTCTCTCTTTCTCTCTCTCTCTTTTTTAGAGAGGTTTTTGCTATAGGGCGCGTACGCTCACCAGACAGACAGAGAGACAGAAAGTGAGAAATCAGCCCCTGGGGGGATGGCCACACTACAATCCCTTCTCCTCCATTCTCCTCTCGGGATCTTGGGCATGCATGCACACGTGCCCGGCGTGAGTTTAAGCCACCGGGTCTGGGACTCAAACCGCGGTTGACTACATGGGAGTCCAGCGACATAGCCATTACACTAACTGCTGGTCCCTCTCTCTCTTTTTTTTTAAGAGAAATTTTTGGGGCCAGCAGTTGGTGTGTTGGTTAAAGGAGCTGGACTCCCACATGGGCTACCACAGTTCGAGTCCCGGACCTGGTGGCTTGCTTTCTCACTAACCCCCAATCCAACTGGATAATGATGATAATAATAATAATAATAATAATA